AGCTCCTCAACTATCTTCTCTGTGGATTTCTTTGATTCTTCTTGTTCTGGAATGCCAATAATTCTTACATTATTCCTCTTCATGTTATCCAACATGAATCTTACACTCTATTAGGATTGTTGTATCCTTTTAGCTGCTTGTTCTTCTATCTTGGCAGTATTGAGAGATTTGTCTTCCAGCTCACGGTTCTGGCTTCCATCTCTTCTAGTCTGCTCCTCTCACCTTTCAGCCTGTTGTCTATTTCTGATATCTTGTTATTGATCACCTTGACATCTTTTTGCAGGGTTTTAATTGTTTCTAGTGCTGTGTTAATCCTATTAGATGTTCCTGCAGCACTTTCGTTACTTCTTCCTTATTTTCCTCTACCTGTTTTCGGAGTATATGAATTTGTTTCCATATCAGTCTTCTGAATTCCCTCTCAGGCATATCTAGAACTTCAATCCTCCTCCTCTATGAAGCCTTTGTCTGTCTCCAGCTCATTTGCATCCGCTGCTCTTTTCTGCTTTTGGACATGCTTCGATAATGTTAATTGTTTCTTATTGGGCATGATTATTCTCATTATAATTATTGGTAATATTATCAGGAGATAGGTGGCGGGCTTTCCTTTCAGTTAGCAGCTGAAGTCTTAATCATTGCACCTCCAAGACTATTTCATTTATTGTTATTGGCGGTGTTATTATATAACATTAGTAATATTACTAGAATGCAGCCTTCTTTTCTCTCCATAGCTACTTCCATTTTACTGAAGTTTGTTGAGTATAAGTTCTTCATTTTAGGGGAAATTAAATAACACCAAAAGAAATGTGGAGAAGGTTAAAGTAGATACCTACTTGGGAGAAAATAATTGCTTAAACATGAACTGACTATTGATCTATGCCTCTAATATTCAAACAGTGTTAATGTAGACAACTTGTAAGTGAATAATAGAAATATGATTGCATGTCCAGTAGTAAAAATTGGAAAGAAAAAAATACAGAACCATATTTCTTTAGTGTATTTAACTTTTTTATTATTATTATTTTTTACTAAACTGTATGAAGCTTTATAAAATGATTGGAAGTTATATTCTAAATATGGTATGTATGGTCAGATTTCATTAATAGAGTTGGAGCTTGTTTAGTCTTGACTGTAATGCTTTGTTATTAGTCTTACCTAATGTTTTACTATTGAATATGTGCTTTGATGTCAGTTATTATCTTATATATGTGTTGTTTGATTTGATTTTGATTTTGATTGCCTTGTCAGAAAATGCTGAGTTATTGCAAGTTCCAGCCTAAAAATCACTTCACCTTCCACTTTAAGATATATTTCATAATAGATTTTTAAAAATCTGGGCAGTAGTAATTTAATCTCTATATTTATAGTTGCAGTGAGTGTCAGAGTGTAAAATTCACATAATATATAAGTTTCTATGTGATGTTGTGAATAAACACCTTTTGATTAATATCTAAATATAAATTATCTATTTGACATGATCAATTCTGATCCTTAATAGTTATTTTAAAACAGTTAAAATAAATCAGAACTTGAGCAGAAAAGACATCACTGTGAGTCTCTCCACTAGTTTCTGGTAACTCTACTTGGGTAGAGTTAGACCTACCCAAGTTATCATTTTTTAAGAAGGTCTTTAAAGTTTTAATTAGAAATTCATTGTACTTATATATAAAATCAATTATATAACACACCGATTTAAAACAAAATCAAAATGCTGGTAATTTACTAACTGCTTAAGAAGTAAAATAGTCCATGTTATGCCAAATTATAATATTCGTGACTTACACTTTGCCAGCTTGTTCTTATTAGGGAATTCTAGGAAGAAGAAAGAAGTAGTTGATAAACTTTAAAGGAGACACCAGGAAATATGAATGGCATATTAAAACAGTTCAGAGAATTTATCCAAGTTTACACATTGTTTCTGTTCAGAAGATCGTGCATTTTGATGAATGAAAGTAGTAATTAAGCTCTGGAAAGTCGCTTGAATTTTATAATAAATGCTATCTTCCCTAAATTCATGAAGACAAAATAAAACATTTTATTTTAATGATATGTATACATCAACAGTGATGGGATATTTTTAAATAATCCTTTTAAATCTCATGTTTTACAGCTCAATATGAATTCTGCTCCTACATTCATGCATTTTCCTCCAAAAGGCAGACCCAAAAGAGCTGATACCTTTGACCTTCAAAGAATCGGATTTGCAGCTGAACAACTAGCAAAATGGATTGCTGACAGAACAGATGTTCATGTATGTTTATATTCTTCACAATTTATATAATAGGCAAATTAACTTGATATGTTAGAGAACTGTAATAAGGCCAAAAATATATATAAGGAAGGATAAGTCAAAAAGTATTGCTACAAAACCATGGGACCCTTTATTAAACAAAAATATCAAATTGTTAAGGGATTTAAAAAATTTTTTTTAACATATGCTCCATCTAGGTTTGCACACTTATAAAAGTAGTATTTTCATCTCTCTAACATTTCCCTGGAGTACTGGTGTGATGCTGTAAGGTAAGCACTGGACTGCAAAGTGTATTTATAGAACCACAAAGTTGGCAGTTCAAACTCACCAGCTGCTTTTTGGAAACTCTATGCTGGGTAGCTATGAATCGGAACATACTCAATGACACTTAGCAACAACATTAACATTTCCCTGAAGAACTATGCAGTCTACGATTTATACCACATCAGAACAGCAGTGTTCACATCCTTGAGGGACTGAAATCCGTGTTCCTTTTAAATTTTGAGTTTGGGAATAAAAAGTCTGAAGAGGCAAGATCATTACTGTAGGGTGGATGTGGTAAGATCTCACAATAAAATTCTCATAGTACATCCCTGTCTGCCCTTGAACAATGAAGAAGTATATTATTGTAATGGAAAAAAAGTTCCTAGACATAAATTTCCTGGCCTTTTTTTCACTATATTAGTTTCAGTTTTATTAAAACTTTTTCCTAACAAGATCCTGTGATGGTACTATGTCCTTTGAAGCAGTCTATTTGTTTGCTTCTTGCAATCCTCAAAAACAGTAGCCATAATGTTCTGAACTGACCTTTCTGCCTTGAATGTACCTGGATCTGCATATCCCTTTAGAAAATACTTAAAAAAAAGTTTTTTTTTTTTTAATTGTAAAAAGACTGAAGGTTTGCAGAGCACATCATCCATTTTATACTCAACAAATTATATTCTTCATTTCATTTCAGTAATTGCAGTCACCTGTTTAACATCCCGTATCCCTCTTCATCCCTGTGATTTTTGTTTCTATTCCTTCTCCTTTTCCCACCCTTTCGAATTTTGTCAGGTAAACACTATTTTTATCTTTAATGGTTAACCGTTCTATAGTGTGCATACCACATTAGTGTTGTTACCCGCCTAATATACCTATCTACTCTTTGGCTAAAATTGAGCCACAGGAGTGTGTTCAGTTCCAGACCTGAAGGGAAGGGTGGCTGTGGGCCATAGTCTCAGCTTCCCCCAGTTTTTTCCTGACCATTAAGCCTAGTCTTTTTTATTATTTTGAGTTTCCCCCCCTACATTTTCTCCTTCTCTCTACAGAATCCTTCAGTACAGTTGTCGTGGTAGCTGAACACCATATACTCTTTTGGTCTTAGGGTCGTGGAAACTGATGCTTATGTGGTCTGTTAGTCTATTAGACTAATTATCTCCAAGTGTCTTCCATTTTCATTATTTTTATTTCCTCTTCATGTGGCGAGACCAATAGGTGCACCTTAGATGAGCAGGTTCTTCATATAAACCAGTTTCTCAGATTATTTGCTCAGCTTTTCCTTTTCTTAAACCGTTGAGTGCTCCCTTGTTTTGATTGAATAGCTGCTGCGTGGTCTATGTACAGGGTCCTCATGAGCACAATTAAATATTCCAGAATACTCATTCTTCACAACGTTGTCCATAACTTGTCGTGATCTACACAATTGAACGCCTTTGTTTAGTCAATAAAGCAAAGGTAAACATATTTCTGGTATTCTCTGCTTTCTGCTAAGATATATCATACGTCTGCAATGACATTGCTTGTTTTATATCTTCTTCTGAATCTGGCTTGAACCTCTGGCAGTTCCCTGTCAGTGTAATTGTTGTAGCTGTTTTTGAATTATCTTCAGCAAAATTTCACTTCCATATGATATTAATGATATTTTCTGCTGACTTCTGCATTCCTTTGGGTTACCTCTCTTTGGAATGGGCACAATTATGGATCTCTTCTAGTTAGTTGGCCAGATACCTTTCTTCCACATTTCTTGGCATAAATGAGTGAGGGTCTTGCACCTGTTTGTTGAAAGATTTCAGTTTGTATTCCATCAATTCCAGGAGCCTTGTTCTTTGCCAATGCCTTCAGTGTACCCTGAACTTCTACCTTTAGTACCGTTGGCTTTTGTCATATTCTACCTCTTGAAATGATTGAACATTTATTTTTGGTACAGTCACTCTTTAACCTTTCCATCTTCTGTTGATACTTTCTACATCATTTAGTATTTTACCCAAAGAATCCTTCATATTACAATTTGACGCTTGACGTATTTCCTTAGTTCTTTTCAGTTGGAGAAACACTGTGCGTGTTCTTCCCTTTACATTTTGTATTGTTAACCCCTGGTCTTTTACATTTCATTATAATATTTGACTTTATCTTTTCAAGCGGATCTTTGAAATTTTCTGTTAATCTCTCTAGCCTCATTTCTTCCATGTATTTCAGTATTTTAACTCTGAAGAATAAGTTTCAGAGTTTTTTCTGACATCCTGTATAGTCTTTATTTCTTCCTGTCTTCTTAATGACCTTTTGCTTTCTTACTGTATAATGTTCTTGATGTCATGCCACAGTTTTTCTGTTTTTTGTTAATTAGTGTCTTAGGCATCAAATCTATTCTTGAGATGGTGTCAAAATTCAGATGGGATATGTTCAAGGTCATATTTTGGCTCTCTTGGACTAGTTTCAATTTTCTTCATCTTCAGCCTGAAATTGGTTGATGATATGGAGCTTTCCCACAGATTTGTAGTCAGTTTGATTTTTGTATATTTCATCTGTGGAAGTCAATATGTGCAATCATCTATGTTGGTTAAAAAAGGTATTAGCAATGAGCAAGTCATTGGTCTTGTAAAATTTTATCGTTGTGATCTCTAGCATCATTTCTGTCACCAAGGCCATATTTTCCAATTACTGATCCTCCTTCTTTGTTTCCAGCCTTAGTTTTCCAATCACTAGTAATTATTGCTACATCTTGATTGCATGTCTAATCAATTTCAAGCTGAAGAAGTTGGCAGAATTCTTCAATTTTGTCATTATTGGCTTTAGTGTTTGGTGCATACATTTGAATAATAGTGGTATTAACTGTTCTTTCTTGTAGGCATATGCCTATTATCCTGTCACAGAAAGCATTATACTTTAAGATAGATCTTGAAATGTTGTTTTTGATGATGAATGTGATGCCATTCTGCTTCAATTTGTCATGATGGGTCGGAACTGACTCAATGGCACTTAACAACAACGATGACATGGTAAACTAAGTGATTGTCAGATTCAAAATGTCTAATACCGGTCCATATCAACTCACTAAAGCATAGGATATCTATGTTTATGCATTCCGTTTCATTTTTGACAACTTCCAATTTTCCTAGGTTCATATTTTGTACATTCCATGTTTTAATTATAAGTGATGTTACAGCTGAAACCATTATTCCAATTGTGTCATCATTGTCAACTCTGCTTTGAGGATATTAACTCTTTCCCAGTCGTATTTTGAGTGCCTTCCAACCTCAGGGCCTCATCTTCTGGTACCATATCTGATAATATTATGGTATTATTCATAATGTTTCAATGTTCAGTATTCTGGTGCTATTTGACAGTTTTCACTGCTATTCATAAGGTTTCCAGTGACTGAAATTTTGAAAGTTGTCCACTTCTCTTTCCTACGATTCTGTGTTAGTGTGGAAGATCAGTTGAAGCCTATCCACCATGGGAAACAGAGCTGGCCTTCAAATCACTAGTGGCATAGATTCAAGTAGCATAGCAGCACGTAAGCCGTAGTGCTACAGACTGGAAATCAAGTGGTGGACAAGGAGAGATTACACATGCTCAATTACATATTGAGATGTACGTCTATACCATGCATCCATTAAAACTGTATTTAGTTGGGTTTTAGTATTAAACATAAATGTACAATCATCATCTCAGTGAATTTTAGGATGTTTCCTTTACTACTTAAAGAATATCATGTACTCTTAGTTATTACTCTGATACCTCCCTAATTCTGCTTCCAGCTTTCTATATAGTCACTAATTGACTTTGTGTCTACATAGATTTATCTATTGTGAACAGTTCATTTGAATGGAATCATGTAATGCAATTATGTGGTCTTTTGTAATTTGTTTCTTTCACTTATCATAATGCTTTTAAGGTATTGCCATGTTGTAGCATATATAAAGCCATGATGTGATAAAAATTTATAGGTTTTGTAAGTTTTAAAAAACCTTTGTGTTTTGAATTTTATTGTGAAGATTTACAGAGCAGATCAGTATTCCATTAAAAAAATCATGTTCATTTTGTTTCATGTCACTGATTGCAATCCCCAGAATTAATATCATTTATTCCATTTCCTCTTGTGTGTTTTCTCTTTGCTTTCCTCCTCCTTTTGTAACATTTCTGAACATTGTCCTTGGGTAAATGCTACCTTTTAGATCTGGAATGGGTGATTGATTATTCTAAGATAAAGATTTGTAACTCTAAAAGAGAGCAAAAGAAGTGTTAATACCAGGTCTGAAAAGTAGGAGGGTACTTTTTGTAATTCTTTATGTTGAAGAATGGAAGAACTAGAATATGATTGTTACAGATTTAATTGTATTCCTTCCCCAAATGTGGTACAAATTTCAGTGTCCATGCTGGTGTGGGGTTGTAGAAATCAGCACTGGATCGCAATGTTAGATTGAACTGCAACATTGGCAGTTCCAACTCACCATCCACTCCTAGGGAACTCTATACAGGGTCGTTATGAGTCAGAACTGACTTGGTGGCACTTAACAGCAACAATGGTGGAGTCCTGTTGTGGCTGTAAGATAAGCACTGGACTGCTAACTGCAAGGTAAGCGCTTCAAACCTACCAGCCAGTCCTCAGAAATCCTATATAGGGTCACAGTGAGTTGCAACCAACTCCATTGTCACTCAGCCATAACAGCCTCTTTGTTGTTGTTTAATCCCATTTGAGAATGGGTTGTCTGTGTTATGTTAGTGAGGCAAGATAAATACAGAACATGTTTTAAGTTATATTCTTTTGAGATCTGAAAAAGATTTAACAAGCAAGGCAAAGAAGTAGCGATGAAGAGAATAGAGCTGCCAAGCCACAGGAAGCTCACCAACGTGAAAAGGAATTAGGTCCTTTCCCAAGAGCCAACACAGAGCTGACTCCTTGAATTCACACTTCTAGCATCCTAAACTGAGAAAATAATTACGTTTGTTAAAGCTATATATATGTGTTATTTCTGCTGTAGTAGTGCTAGATAACTAAGACAATGATCAGAAGGAAAAATGAGTATTTCATAGTTTCTAAAATACTTTTATTGTATTTTACAGATTCGGGTTTTCAGACCACCCAACTACTCTGGCACTATTGCTTTGGCTCTCTTAGTGTCACTTGTTGGTGGTTTACTCTACTTACGAAGGAATAACCTGGAATTCATCTATAACAAGACTGGTTGGGCCATGGTGTCTCTGGTATGTGTTATTACACTGAATTTTTTTCTATCATATTTCTCAGAATGATAGTCTGTATTCTATAATAACAGTAAAATCAGCCAGAATTTTACTGCATTATAAATCAGATATCATTGGCAAGAATTAACTTTTGAGGATTTTGATGATACAGTTTTATTTCTTGACTGTAACCCCCTCCATAAAACCATCGCACTGATTCTGCTCCATGTCTGATGTGCCCATTGAGTCATTTCCGACTCATAGCAACACTGTTAGTAAGAGACTTTAAATCTTTGTGGAAGCAGAAAGCCTCATCTTTCTCCTTCGGATTGGCTGGAGAACTCAAGCCACCAGCCTTGTGGTTTACGGTCCAGTGCTTATCGTATGGAGCCACCATGCTTGGAGACCTGGTGTGGCGCTGTGGGATAAAGTGCCAGACCGCAGGGTTGGTTTGAACCAAAAGGCCAGCAGTTCAAACTCACTAGCTGGTCCTTGGAAACCCTGTACAGGGTTGCTATGATTTGGAACTGACTTGACGACACTTAGCCACAACAGTAATCTAATTTAAGACAGAAAGTCAGTCATTAGCACTACAGAGCTGTAAAGAGTTGTAATGGTTACGTGCATCAGAAAGGTAATGTTAAAATTATCTTGTGTTCTTCTAAAAAAACGAACTTAAAATACATTGTTGTTTTTATAGTTGAAATATATTAAGCAAAAATAGAGAATATTAGTTGCAGAAATGGAAAGAGTCAGCAGCTATTATGCAATACATAATTAGCAATTTAGTGATGATGTTGTTGTTACGTACTGTCGAGTTGGTTTTAACTCATAGTGACCCTGAACAGAGTTTTCAAGGAGCAGCTGGTGAGTTTGAACTGTTGACCTGGTGGTTCAAACCAACCTTGTGTTCCAGTACTTTATACCACAGCACCACACCAGGAATCCAATTGATTGATAAACCGGACCAAAAAACTTAGTAAATGAATCTCATAAATCTGTATTTTGTATGTGCTGGCATGTCTGTGTGTATATATATGTGTATATACATATTTGTGTGTGTGTATGTGTGTATATATATATATACACACACAAAGTAGAGTATATATTGTTCTCATATGTATGGTATATTTATGACATTTAATTATGAAATTTTCTTAAAATATATGTTTTAATAATTGTCACATGACTTCCATTTAATATTTTGTTTTAAATGTTAATTTATCAATGTAATATATGAATGAATAATAAAACCCTGTTTGTAAACTAAAAAGACACTTTCAAATAGCTAGGAAGTAAAAGTATAACAAATAAAAAGTAAACAATGGCAATTATAAAATATATAGAATTAAGCAACAAAGAAAACAGAACATATCACAAATTCTAGAATATTACTAAAGTGTATAGCCTCTCAGGCAATTGTAGGGTCATTAATGCTTGTGTTGAAAACACATGTAAGCTCCAAAGTGATTTCAGTCAGTGCTCAATTTAACATGATACAATGTAAGATTAAAATGTATTATGTGATTAAGAACAGAATATTTTGAAGAGGTTTGTTTTATGAAAAAGTAAGCTCAATGAGTCTTTTAATGAAATAAACATAATTAGAAAGGCTGATTAAGAAAAAAAATTACAAATAAATAAGATTAAATTAAGAGCATATTGTACATTAATAATTTCACCATATACATACCATGGACAAACCCAAAAACACTTATTGCAATTGAGTTGATTCTAATTCACAGTGACGCTATAGGACAGAGTACATGTGGTCCTTGGCGTTTCTTATGGGAGCAGATGTCTTCATCTTTATCCTGCAGAGTGGCAGTGGGTGTGAACTACTACCCTCGTAGCTAGCAGCCCACTGCTTAACCCACTGCACCACTAACGCATCTTTCTAAAGAACAAGTTCTTGAAAAATATAAATAAAATTATTTTAGGAAGAATTATGAAGCCATATTTAGCCAGTGAACAGTACATTTAATGAGAAATTTCAGATAATCCTTAAAAAAATTCAAAAGACCCAATAGTTATTTTGTTGTTGTTAAGTGTCGTCAAGTTGATTCCAACTTATAGTGACCCTGTATAGGGTTTCCAAGGAGAGAGTGGTAACCTTGAACAGCCAACTGTGCAGTTCAAACTGACTACAGTCTAGCACATAAATCTACAGTCATTTTAAAATAAATATTCCTGAAAGAATTATCTGTCTCTTTGCCAAGCTCTTTCAGAAAATAATAAAGGAGAAAATTCCAACTTCGTTTGAGGTTATTTTATATTTTTAATATTTAAGCTTTTCTTTGGATCATAGTTCAGATGAAGTTTTCAGAATGAACTTAATTCTGAAATTTACTTTTTCTTTTGGAAATTATGAGTACAGTAAAGAAAAACCACGGAACCATTGCAAAGTTAATTTCCAATTAATTGGAAAATAAGCAACTGGCATATTCTGAAATTTACCTCTGTGAATTTTACCAGTAGCAGCTGAAGCCAACCAGTGTTGGATGCTTCCTTTAGGAAGGTTACTTTACCATTGAGAAGAACAAAGGCTACTAATAGGCCTAATATTACCTGTGAAGATAGCAAAAGAATGCTCAGACAGTGCTGAAGTACCTAATGTGGCAGAACTTAGAAAGGACAAATAAAGATTAATTCTTTAAAATTAGTGTCTGTCTTGGAGACGGTAGCTATTGTGTCTTGTGGTATCAGTGGCTCAGAAGAAATCAAGGGAGTGCAGACTCTGTGTTAGAAGTCCATATGAACTAGGCTATGTTTTGTGAAAAGAGGCATGGCTTACATGATGCTATTATTTGGTGCTGTTGAGTTGGTTCCAACTCATAGCTATGCTGTGCACAACAGAATGAAACACAGGAGCCATCATCACAATTGTTTTTACACTTGAGCCCATTGTTGAGGGAGTCTGCCTCTGTCTTGCTGACGCTCCACTTTGCCATTCATAATGTCCTTCTCTAGTG